GTGACGTAGACATGTGGGGCGTGTTAGAACGAGCCGTTTTAGGTAGGTGTGGACGAGTCTTAACTTTTATAAAGAATATCTCTTTGGGTTTGAGACTTTAGTCTTTGCAACTTTAGGGATCTTATCTATTCACGAACAGCTTGTAACACTCCAAAGAGAAAGGAAAACTTGAAATCGCATCATATGACCCCTTTAAAACAAAACAGCAGGAAGCAGCGAGAGCTGACGACGGCGAGAGAATGACGTCTGTTTTTTTCTGTCAGGGCGGTGTGGTTCTGGTGTCCCACGACGAGCGCCTGATCCGGTTGGTTTGTAAGGAGCTCTGTGTCGGCGAGGCCGGGCCAGTTCAGCGCGTGGAGGGAGGCTTTGACGAGTACAAGGATATCTTGCAGGAACAGTTTCGTCGGGAGGGATACTTGTGATGGAGACGTCTGTTTACCTGCTCTACATTACAAACACCAAAACTGATCAGAGCGTCCTTGCTCTCACTTGCCGGTGGGATGCTCTTATTCAAACCCCTTCAACTTCAAACTCCCTAAATCATGAAGAAATGCTCTATTTATTTATAAATGTAAGCCTATCACACTTTCTTAAATTAAGAAAATTTCTTAAAAATTCTTAAAAACTTGCGCAACACCAATTTGTACGTTTTAAAACGGCTCTATGAAAAACGGTCATGAAAGACATTGAGTGAGTCAAGTTAATATGAGGGCTAAGCAATGGAAACAACAGACAGGTAAAAAAGCTTGATGCTCTGTTGGACAGCAAAAGTTTAACAGGATCTTACCAACATCTTCCCACCAAACCTTGAAGTTTTTATTTACTTTTCAGCAGGGACGGAAACGTTTCCTCTAACTACACGATCATAAGATTGGACGAAAATAGCAAGCTTTGCAAGACCAAGGAAAAATAATCTATGATAATATATGACAAATGAATGCACAATTAAATGGGCTAATTAAATTACATGAAAATAAAGCAACACATGTATGGTTGTTCTCATGGGAGTCATCTGGATTTACCAGTGAACTGGATTGGATCTGAGCTCATCTCAGAGTTGTCGTCATAGCAACAGCTCTGTAAGCACAAACGACTTATTTCACATAATCAGGATTATATCATGGCTTAACGAGCGGAGGCGATGCTGGCAGTGTGTCCCAGTCACTGCACCATTCTAATAACAACTGGGGCAATAATAATTCAGTATTATAATAAATGTAATTTGTTTAATATAAAACAATTCTGTAGTATAAAATAATATACAGTAGCTAATTAAAGCCCATTTTACCGCTGTATTTTTACCTCAAAAAATGTATTATAAAACAGATAGTTCCGGTCCTTGATTCTGATTGGCTGAGCCGCGTTCGAAGCTGTTGTAAATTACTCTACAAACATACACCTTTGTTTACTTCTGTGTGTTGCTCGGCAACCACTTTGTAGCAACCACAACTGATTCTGAGGAACTACATTGTTTGGTGGAAGAATACTGTTTTTATTAATATCATTACACTTTATTTGCTCTGTGTTATTCTTTGAAACCTTACTACGTATAGACCTTTTTCATGGAACGCGAAATTACCCATTATGCTTTGCGCGTACGCGTAAACTTATGACAATTACTAAACGGAAGTTCGAAGCATCCTACATGAAGTCACTCGCCGCTATGGCGCCCTCCATGGAGAAGCGAAGAAAAAGGTCTATAGTAATACTATATATCTGCGGAAGCATTTCCAGTAGCCCCTCACTGCACTGCAGAAGCAGAACACAAGATCCAGGGGGCGTGGTTGAATCCACATCTAGGGGGTGGAGATTAGTAGGTTTAGGGGTGGAGATGGGTGGATTTAGGGATCAGGGGGTGGAGACGGGTAGGTTTAGGGGTGGAGATGGGTGGA